GCCGCGCAAGTGAGTCGGGCTCCTCCGGTGGGGTTAACTCCTTCCCCCCCTGCCTGCGAGTCAGCCTGGCTGCCGCGCGTCACGTGCCCGCCGCCTGAGGCAGCGACCGGAGCGAGGGGAGGGGAAAAAATAGAAAGAGGAGGAAAAAAAAAAAAGAAAGAAAGAAAAAAAAAGAAAAAGCGCCTCATTCCTTCCTCCACCGCCATACTGTATTTTGTAGTAACTCATTTTTATTCCTCCCTTTTACTCCCGCTCGGTGAGTACCTTTCCGCCGGCATTCTTGTCCTCCCTTTTTTCCTTTTTTTTATTTTTTTTTTGTCCCGGGTTTTTTTTTTTCTTCCTTTTTTATTTTTGCTTCTTTTTTTTCTTCTTCTTCTTCTTCTTCTTCTTCTTCTTCTTCCTCTTTGATTATTGTTTCCAGGGATTTGATCCTTTTTTTGGTTTTCCTGAGGGCAAGTTTTTTGGGTTTTTTTTTTTTTTCCCTAGCATGCGATGGGGGACTAAACTGTGAGCAGACGGTGCTGCCGGGGCTGGGAGTCGGCGGGGATGGCAGGGGCCTGATCCTGGCCGGGAGGACGAGCCCGATAACGATAAGCGAGACGACTCGCCAGTCCAGAGACGGGCTCTGTCTCTAGCCAGACCTTTCTCATCTCTCTCTCTTTCTCTCTCTGTCTGTATGCAACTGGTTTTGTGGTGCACGGTATAACCTAGAAAGCATTGCTTTTTTTTCAAACAAAAAAAGAGCAAAAACAAAAGGCATGTGTCTTATAACTCCCCTTTTTATTTTTTTGCAGAGGATTTTTTTTTTTAAATCCCTGATGGGATTTGAAATTTTGGTGTTGTTTTTCATCTTCTTGGGGTTTTACTAATATTGTTTGGTGTGTTTTTTTTTTTTTTTTTTTTTTTTTCGGTGGGGAATTGCAAATGCGTTTTACAAGCCGTGTTTACCAAGAGTTTGTGATCTTGCAAAAAAAAAAAAAAAAAAATTCACCGGGTGCAAGATGCTCGTTTTGTTGCTTTTTGCTGTGGTTTCCCCCTTTTGCCCCTCGGTGCAGTCAGCAACGTTTTCCCCCCCCCCCCCCCCTTCTTCTTCTGCTTTTGATGCCCGTTTATAACGTGAAACTTTTCTTGCAGCTCGTGGCAGTTGATCCTTTTTAAATACTTTTTTTTTCCTCCTCCTTAAAACCAACCGAAAGAGAGAGAGAGAAAAAAAATCCAAGCCAATGATGGTTTACTTTTGCACATTTGACTTCTTCATTCTTTTACCTGCGTAATCTTATAATGCTTGTGATTGCCATGATGATGATGCTGGTGCTAGATAGATACATATATACCAATAAATACATTTTCAAATGGTGGCAGTGGAAGGTTTTCCTGGAGAATGAAGTGCGGTTTGGTTTCCTTGTCAACGGAAGATGAAGTGAACAACTGAGCATCTCCCCAGTGCAGGTACTTCATCTCCTTGGAGGCGTTTCCACTCTTTGAAAATTATATTACGAGATTTTTTTGTAATATATATATATATATATATATCTCAATCTCTCCGGATTCGCAGCTAAAGGTATTCCCGCAGTAAAAGGAAGATGAAACTAAATCCGTGTCTGCCGCCTGATCGCGTGGATGCTTGCAAAATATTGCACTGATTGAGCTCAGGTCGGTTGAAGCTGCCAGTGGTGGTTTCTCTACTGTACTGTATAGCAGGGTGGCTGGGGGGGCCACGACCCGCAATGAAACCTGGTGGTGAGAGGGGACACTTCGAGGGCTTAAAAATAAGAGGAGTGGATTGCGAGTAAGAAATATGATGTGTGTGGGGGTGTAGAAAATGCCCACTACAAAGTCTTAGGTGGCTGGGAGAGAAGCAGCAGAGCAGGAGCCCTGCGAGAGGCTGGCTCATTGCCAGACATACTCCATATCCTGAAGGAGATTTCCAACTTCTGTTCCTCCTATTCAGGAATGAACAAGGCAGCAGATCGGCTCTTGTCAGGCTTGGCTCATTGGGATGGAGATTAATTAGGAGCCGCTCTTTGTTTTCAGGTGTTTCGTTTTGTTTGGATGATTATTAATGTTACTTGCCTGCCAGGGATGGGAAACGGTGACTTCGCGTGACGGTCACTGAGAGTTCAGAATTGGGGAAGAAACTGTTACTTCCCATTAAGAGCATGTAACTGCTTTGCAGTGCCTAAGACGCTCCCTGATTTAGAGGCAGGGTATTGGATCACTAAAATACGATTTGGAGAGATTTTTCCAACTGAGGTGTGTGGTGATTTCCCTCTTCCCTCCCAAGGAAGTGATTTGTTAAAGTTGAAGTACTGATTGTTTCAATCTGCAGTGTTCTCTGTGTTTACTTTTATGCTGATGGGACTGTTTAAAGCATTTGTGTGTAGACAATTTTCAGAGATTTATAACACCCTTCTAAAAATATACTCTGCATTCAGCCATAACAAGGAAACTATCTTCTGAGAAACAGTTTACCTCCCTCCCTCCCCAGATGTAAGCTAACCTTTTGTCAGTTTTGAATTGATGGGAATACAGGGGCATTTGGAAGCTAAAGGCTTCAGATACTGTATTCTTCTAACTACTTTGCTCTTTGAAATTGGGAAGTTTGTATACCAAGTGTGATGCAGAGTCATTTTGCTGAGTATGTGGAGCAACAAAGTCCACTGACCTCGGCTATCTCTGTAGAAATGTAGTGATTATACAGGGATGGTATCCTTTTTCTACAAAAGTGTAATAAACATACTTAGTAAAAAGATGTATTTTGCATGCATGGCATCTGCATTGACATGATGGACTACCTTTGACAATATATTGAGCTAATAATCCATGTTTCAAGAAGCCACTATCTAGATATTTATCTGATAGATGATGAGTTCTTTGGAGTACTTACAATCTGTTGGTGCAATAATCCACATTTAAGAAGTTTCAGACTGCTTATATTTTCATAATGGAGATGGAGAGAAATACATGAATATAAATAGTGATCAGAATGCTATCTTCTGTTGCTTCCTTTTCTTTTTAAATTACAGGGTTTTTTTTCTTGAAACTAAGGAGAGTGGACAGTTAGCCAGGCATTTTTAGTATTGTGTAGATGTTTAAACAAATACATTAGGCAAGCAGTTTCCAGCTGACTTCCCTTTGGTCCATGGCTTGCCTTGCCTTTTTTCAGTGTTGCAGGTGTGTTGTATGAGTAATTTGGATAGTAGATAGTTGCTGACTCTAAGCCAAATCTTGCTCACTTTATCTTGGCTTGAAGTCCAAGATAATAAGTGTTAGACTTGCACTACTCTTGGGCACCTTTTTATACGTTCATGAGTCAGGAGTTTATATGTACATTTATATGAACTTTTCCATGTGTACAAGTTGGGGTTAAATTATTTTGCATATACAGCTTGACTGTTTCCAAGGCAGCCTATGTGTTTTTAAAAATTTGGGCCACCAGGCCTTATTTTATAAGGAGAACACTATTTAACTCTCTACATCCTGCAGTGTCTTGATAGGATTTGAGTTACGAAAGGTTTGTCAGCTTCAATGTGGAATTTCCAAGCATGTACTGCTTTACGTCATAAATGACATTTTTTGAAATCACATTTGAAAAGCCAGAAGCTTTGTCCACAAGTAGGGGTTGCCTTATTGTGGGTTTTAGGATAATGAATTATATAAGTATTACACTGGAAATGACTAAAATGCCTACCTGCTGAATTGGGGTATTATTTTTACTACAGCATTTGCTGCATTCTGTATGTATAAAAAAAGAAAACCACTGAGTGGGAAATCATTGTATTTCTGTAGTAAATTTTACTTTTGTTAATGATAAGTGTCCAGATTTTAATAGTGCCTTTATATTTTAAAGTCTTCTTCTGATCAAGAGAAGTGAGCAAGTTAATATGCTTGTACAGAGATCTCTAAACTGAAAGCCCTGGCAAGTAACTGTTTTTCCATTAAATATTCAGTCCTTGCTAACAGTTGGATGAAAGTCTGACAAATGAGTGGCCTGACTACAAGGTACTAAATGCCCTCACTCAAAAAAAAGTTGTAAACAAGCAAGACACAGGATATTAAGCACCCTAGTGTCCCCAAAGAGATGATGAAAGGGACTCTCAGCCTTTTCTGATATAAGAACTCAGGATTGGAAAGGACCTCAAAGGTCATCAGATCTAGTCCCCTGCTACACCATGCCATATAATTCTGTTAAAAAATCCATCAGTCTCCACCTTAAAATTGTTTGCCCTTACTGTTTATGTTGGAAAATTGTTCCTGAATCTCCTGCCTCTGGTGGCTAGAAACCTTTTACTAATTTCCAGCCAATTTTTTTTATCCTGGCCAGTTATGCCCATTTGTTCTTGTGTCAACATTATACTTATAGTCTGTTCTCCCTCCCCAGTCTTTGTCCCACTGATGCATTTCTAGAAAACAATCATATCCCTTCACAGCCTTAATTTTGATAGGCAAGATACATCACTTGCCTGGCCAGTACAGTGTAGAGAAGCCATCCAGACAAGCTAGCTTGGTACCGGACAGATGCATTCAGGCGGCTCTCCTTCTAGGGTAATTAACCATTTTTCCTAGTTGCAAAGATGGTCATATTTTTTTTAACTCAGACTGGATTTGATATCACTATATGGCACTACACTGTTTACCATAGACAAACGCTTAGTTGTTTTGCATGAGAGGCTCTCTGTTCTGCTGATAATCACACTGACTCTTCTTTAGATCTTTTCTAGTTTGAATTAATCTTTCTTGAACAGATGCTCTCTTATAAATATATTTGGGAACAAACACAAAGGGGGAGGGAGCCCTCTTTTACACTAAATGGTAACATCCCAAGTGGGAGTTTTTTCCCCTGTAAATCTCTAAGATTCTCTAGCCAGCCCTTCTTTGTCATACAAACTAGCCATGGCCACTGGGCTGCTGACAGACGTGGAAAAAAAATCACTTTACTGGAAGAAGCAGCACATTAGTTCAATGGTGCTCTTCAGCATCTGTATAGATCAGGTGCTTCAGCTGGGCTTTTTGGTGCTTTTATCTAAAGCTGATTCAATCAACTACTGGCTATTAGCCAGTACATGTTAATAGTGTCCTTCTGATTAGAATCAATGTGAAAGTTTGTTACAGTATATTTGAGAACTTTTTTTTTCTAATTTAGGGTTTTCTCCCAAGGTGCTTATTTTCTAGCTTTTCATTCTTTTAAAGCATTACCCTAAAACCAGTACATTGTATCAGCCATTAACAGTGTCCTTCTGCCTCAAAGCAAAATGTCTTCCATTTTATTCAGTCCTACATTCTAAAAGTTCACAAAGTGAAGAGAATAAGGCTATTTAAATTGTGTCTGACTTAAGGGACCTAATTCAGCCCTCATATGCATTGGCCTCAATAGGAGATGTACTTCTCTGCCCAGGGATACAGCTGATTCCTTTATGTTTTTAATGACTGTTGATATTTCTGAAACTAGGCTGAAAATCGCCTATTTCTTGATGGAAAACTATGATGCATGTGACCCTGGCAATATAGGAGCCTAATGGAATACAGAAACAGCTTCTATCTTGATTTAACCTAGTTCTAACTGGTAAAAGAAAACAAAACATACAATCATGAACATTATGGCAGAAACTTGTTCAGTGCTGACATTCTTTTACTAATTTTGCACAACCACTAAAGTAAGCTAGTTGCCTTGGTTTAGGATCACTGTTTTGTTCTTTTAGTTGTTAGTCTGTAGGCAATGTAAAGAACATTCTTTTTCAATGTGTCCAGAGAGAGACCAAAAAATGACAACAATGAGATCTTAGAATATATTCACTGTGATAAATGCTTATTGCTATACAACACTTCTTCCTGCTGAGGCAGAATTAAATGAGCTTAGTTTATCTATGAGAAAGTTCAGCACCACCGTTTTGTGCATGGAAGGACTTGTGGAAGAAGTAGCATCTACAGTGGGAAATTTTTAAAATCAGTGAGAATTTACCAAAGAAATCAAAAGCATCAGAGGAAAAAGAGGAGCAAGAATGGTGAAAGGTTGAGACGGAGCTATTTTATAGACTTTAGTCTTGGGATGGCTACCATCTTTATAAAAGACCTGAGTAAAGGATGGACATTCCTTGTTTACTGCTTAGTGAATCTGTAAATAGCTAATTGCTCAGAACAGGACTGCCCTTATCCTGCAGCTGTTCAATTCACATGAGTAGCATTTGCATGAGTAGCAGGCAAGTAGTGAATTGTGTTACTGGAGTACATAAAGTTACTCACATGTGGTTTTTTTGCAAGATTGAACAATAGATAAGGTAATATTGCACACTACAGGTACTGGAAAACATTTATTGTATGAGACATCAAAATATAAGTTGATATTATAGTTAGTTTCTAAATAGAGTTGCTCTGCTTGATATTATTTGTTTATTGGCCACAGCTTTTCTAGAATTGTTTGCTTGCTTTTTGCCTGGCAAGATCATTAATGCTACTTTCTCTTTTGTTGAACACGGCCTAAATTCAATTATTTTTTAACAGATGTACCATTTTGACAAATCTAATTATTTTTAGTCTAGAAACAGTTCTAGTATTATTTCAAATTTGTCTACCTTTTTTTTAATATTTCCTCATACCTTAATACAAAGGGTCATTGTATTTCATCATGACTTTCTTTCTTTTCAAAAATGTCACTT